ACACACCTGTTAGCACATGACACATAACAGGTGTGTTTAGCCGGTCAACATGCATAAATTCAGTGATTTAGGTACAAACATTTCTGATGATTGTGGGAAGGGCAGGGGCTTCGGGGGGCTGTCAACACCTTTATCACAAACGTAGCAAGCTACCGCTAGCTAACTAGCACTTCCGGTCTGTATGGGACGCCCCAGAGCGTCTCATATTGATGCAGACGCTAAAGGGTACGTCAAATAACGCTTACGCTTTGTCACTCTTTCTCAAATCGTCGGTATATGACGCCCTGAGATGAGAACGGGCTGCAGCCACAGATCTCAGGTTTATTTTCATTTTTGTGTCAGAGCATTTTATTGATTCAGTGCTGCTGGCATACAAAGGCAATATAACAAAAATAAATAACGCTTCTGAAATACACAGATAACCTCTCAATATGCTTTTTTAAAATGTCTGATTAGTCTGCGATGAGCTAATGCAGTTAACTTGTTAACTTGAGTTACGTTAGCCAGCTAACAGTGCGTGTAGCCATAAAAGTCTCTTTTTTGTCACCATTATCATCAAAACATGAGATGGATGCTGGATAAAAAAAAAAGTTGATGACACTCTTTGATGTGTACGAGTCCATGTTGTACCTGGTGTGACCACAGGGTGGCGCCACATCCACCAAAATAGACACATTTATGCTTTATTTCAGCAAATTACATGTAACATGTTCTAAAAAATTGAGATGAAATATTTTTGGGGCGTTTATTCGCAAAGAAATTGTGGGAATAAGTGAAAACTGCAAAGGTAGATGTGAAGTTTTTACCTTTTAGAATTCTTGTTGAATCATTAATCAGTCCCTCCAGGACTCTGACCCTAAAGCTGCATATTTAAACCAGCTGACCTTGATCTTTTCCTGCTGCTGAGTGGGAAGCAGCAGCCTGTGTCTCAGCGTCTCTCTGACGTCCTCCATGTGTTTCTGACGTTCTCTCTCAAAGTGTTTGTCTGGAAAAAGTTTCCTTTATGTGGGACCACAATACTGCAGGTTCTGCGGAACAGGTTCCCCGCTTTGGTGAAGAAGATCTGGATCCTGGTCTTCACGGCCCTTTGCTGTGATTTTGTCGGTAAATGTGAGACGCTGGTATCGCATGCAGACGTGTGACGTTTTGCAGGAAATGATTAACAGAAAAGTTGCGGTGATTGGTCAAAATTGCAAGTCGCAGGGATTGGTTGAATTTGTGTTAATAGTTGCGATCGTGACATCACAAAATCCTCGAGGGACTGATAAATCTATGCAACCTTGCTGTCGGACATGGCATCGAGAGTGTGGCTGATGGTGAGCAATATCTAAACCTGTTATCTTGTAAATTATCTTTAAACAAACGTAAATTAGCTAGCTCGTTGAACAAACTGTAAGTTGTTGTTAGGGTCAGCGCTACGGCAGCTCAAACAACACAGGTTTCACTTCAACTAACATGCAAGAAAAATATACTAGCATTTATTAAAAGACTAACTCTGTATAGCCAGTAATATCTAAAAATAACTTAATAACACAGTGACAAGATTGAAACTTAAATAAAATAGCTAAATCTTAAATGTCCTCGTCCCCTGGAAACTTTTCAGTTCGTTTTGTACAACTTTCAGTGTTTCTCTTTGTCTCATCCACCTATGTTGAATGTTTAAAGGTGTTTCCTTCATGCGTTCTGTCTGCAGTGCGCTTTCTGAAACTGAGTTATTGTTTGCTCCACCTTTAAATCTTGAGCTGCGTCCAACATGACTGCTTACACCTTTATCATTTCTCAGTTTGTACGAGGAAGAAACACGACCGAGGAGTCGAGGCAACAACAGTTCAGCTGCTGCTGATTATTTAAAATACTGTAACAACGCTTTCAGGTTCTGCGTAAGAAACTCTCAGCTGTTTTCCTCGACGATGCTCTGCAGAATCCACGGCTCCTCGTTTCTGTTTAACGTCTCCGCAGACGATCGTTGGACATCAAATCACCTTCAATCATGCAAACGACGACAAGAGAAACCACAGGAGAGAGGAAGGAGGAAGAAAAGGAGGAGGAGGAGAGAAAGACGACAGAGGAGGAAGAAAAAAAGATGATGTAAGGAAGACAAACACAAAGAAAGACAGCGTGAGAATAAGATGGATAGAAAGAAAGAAGAAAAAGATGGAGGCTAATAGATGTCTACAGGGTCACATAAATCACACACTTCCTGTCTGACAAATTGATCGCTCTGCTGCAAATCTCCCCCAGTGCACCGACTGACAGGCGCTGTGTGTGTGTTCGAGTGTGTGTGTGTGTTTAGGACGACCCGACAGATGAAACAGCCGGGACGGAAGAAGAAGAAAGAAAAGAAAGCACGAGAGGAAAGACGAAGACAGACGAAACTTAAACGCTACGGTGTGATTTACAAATAAGTATTACTTATCATTTTATATTGATTCTTACTCTCAAAAACAATTGACCGTAACACGTAAATGTATTGAGTCAATGCAATTACCAGTTTCTGACTTGAGCCATCAACAGTAGTTACTAAGAGTTTCCTTAACTAACACTGTTGTAGGTTACGTTAACTAAATGTTAGTTTTTGCTAACGTTAACGGCTCTTTATTGGACTTTTAACACTGTCCGCTACAGAGTCCCTGAAGTCCCATAAGATTATCTTATGGGGCTTCAGGGACTCTGTAGTCAGTCAAACGTTACCTGAGATTGAGGTATGTTTGCTAAACACATCAGTTAGTCGTCATCCTAAAAATGTTTTTTCTTTAAACAAATCCCTTTTGTGTGGTTCTCGGCTAACGTAGCTTAAGCTAGCTTGAACTGCTTTTTCTGAGTAATATTTATCTAAATCTTCTTGTTTTAGACAAAATACAAAATAAATTGGTATAGAAACACCAACGTGAAAAGGATTTAGCGCCCTCTGGTGGTCGAATCAAAACCGTGACAATTTTCAGTTTTTCACTTTTACATTTCTACAAAGTAAAACTTTTGTCATCAGAATAATTTAAGAGTGGATTTAATCACATAATAAATAACTGAACCCTGCTGACTGCGCGACACGCCAGCTGTAAAAACCACTTTAAACCATGGCGAACAGCGAGAGAGAGATTGGACTGTGGATGCGTCAGAGACAAAACAGTGTAACAGGTGAATAATCAGAGCTGGAGCGCCGTTTGTCACTGAAACGAGAAGACAACGCTGGCGGCACACACACACACAGAGCAGCTGGAATTACCTGTAAACATACCAGAGAGACAGTAAACGCATCGCAAAACACACCACATGGACAGTGAATGCATCACGCACTTTAAGTGCTTAACTAAGTTTCCAGTGGTGAAGAGAGGCTGGACCACGAGGGTAACAACCCAAAAAACTGGACTGAACTGGACCGACACGCTGACCCTGGGTGACCCCCCCCCACACACACACACACGCACGCCCTCCTGCTGCTGACCTTTGACCTTTAATTCACACACACACACACACGTGACTCATTCCTCCACACACTCACTAATGAATGTTGTTTAAGTGATCTACCCGTGTGTGTGTGTGTGTTAATTATTCTGGGTCTAACCTTGTCAGCCACTAATTGGCGCGCAGACACACACACACACACAGCTGATGGTGTGTGTGTGTGCGCAGACAGCGTGTTACCACAGTGCCCCCTGCTGGTCTCAGTCAGTTTATCATGTTTCTTGACTTGAATGTAAATGTAGCAGAAACTGTAAAGGTACAAATCAACTCCAGTTTTCTCCTTTTACGTATTTTATTTAAAATAATCTTGATTATCTTCATTTTATGACATCGATTATTAGAACAACAACAAAATCAACTAATCATCAGTTGCAGTCCTGTACAAAATGGGTAAAAAGAGGCTCCTGAATCTAACAGTTGAGGTTGTGGATTCGACTGAAGCCCACAACAAGGATGCTGACTGTTTTGAAGCTGATGTTTAAAGGAAAGAGGTAAAAGCACCAAGAAAGACTGTTTCTCTGTCTGCTCCAGTGCCTCAGGCTGGTCGAGGGCCGCTTGGCAGATCTGAGGTTCTGGGTTCATTTCTCACTTGATGCTCTCCGTTTAAAAAGCTGATGTTGAAACCAAACATTCACAAGCTCTTTTAACACAGCTGAAGAAATAAAAAGACAAGCGTTTAGTCGAAGGCCTCTGTCCAACACACACAGTTAAAATCTGCATGGAGCAGCACTGAAAGGACTCCAGCACGTTTTATTATATAAAGTACATATGATTTAACATTTAGACTATTTGTACCTCTCTTTTACTTAAAAGATACAAAACATTCACGCATCATCATGAATAAGCACTCGTCTTAAAGCTGTACACAACACACACAGAGCACAAAACCACTTTTCACTCGTGCAGAGGACTAAAATAAATGTGTGCCTGCAGAACCTGCTGCCCTCAATACAGGTAGAGCAAAATAAACTCCACCAGAGGTAGTGAACCCTGGTGATCTCATGAAGTTTGAGGTCCATCCCCCAGAGGAAAGAGTGAAAAGCTAACAACATAATGTTAAACTCGGTGGCTCAGGGTGCTGACTGACTCCACAGGTGTTCTGAGGCTGTGGGTTCGATCCTCGCTCAAACCTTTAGAGTCATTTTGGAGTCAGATGTCAAAGGAAGAAGTGAAAAGCTGTAAGAAAGAAAGAGTCAGTGTCTCAGATCAAACAGCTCAGAGTGTTAGAAGGCTGCTCAGAAGCTCTGAGGTTGTGGGTTCGATCCTCATGTGAGTATTTTGAAAGCTGATGTTTAAAGGAAAGAATTAAAAGTGTGAAGAAAGATTGTTCATCTGTCTGGTCCAGTGGCTCAAACTGGTAGAGAACTGTTTGGTGGTTGTGGGTTCAATCCTTATGAAGCTCAGTGACTTTTGAAGACCAGCCCCCAGAAGAACGACTGAGAAACCAACATGACGTTAGCGTCAGTGTCTCAGATCAAACAGCTCGCAGTGTTAGAAGGCTGCTCAGAAGCTCTGAGGTTGTGGGTTCGATCCTTAAATAACTTTATGAATTTTGAGGTCCGACCCTGAAAGGAAAGACTGAAGAGCTGACAACACGTTAGTGTCAGAGTCTCTGGCCCCGTGGCTCAGAGTGTTAGAAACCTCTACAGGTGTTCAGAGGATGTGGGTTCGATCCTCACTCCTTTCAGAGACTTTTGAAGTTGGTGGTCCAAAGGAAGAAGTGAAAAGCTGTAAGAAAGAAAGAGTCAGTGTCTCAGATCAAACAGCTCAGAGTGTTAGAAGGCTGCTCAGAAGCTCTGAGGTTGTGGGTTCGATCCTTATGAGGCTCAGTGACTTTTGAAGTCCAACAGCCAAAGTGAGAAGATAAAAGCGCCCGGAGAAAAGGTTCAGCTGTGAAGGGGACTCGGTGGCGGCGTGGGGTTCGATGGCGACCGCGAGGCGGCAGTGCAGCGGTGGTTCGAATCCCGCGTGCGGCCGGGTACCCGGAGCCGGTCCCGCGGCGTCGGGTTCGGGAGGGGGCCGTGTCCCCTCCCGGTGTTCTGGAGAGGTAGAAGCTGGGGGTTATGGAGCGGGAAACAGGAAGTGGCTGAAGTTTTCCTAAAAGGTGGAAGATGACCGACAGCACAAGGTCTTTATTGGTCCAGAACAGGTGCTGCTGGGACTCGTGGTGTCAGCTGGAAGCGAGTCTTCAGGGCGTGTCCCCAACAGCCTGGAAGAGACAGAAGAAATGAGTCCACAGGTTTGTGACAAGTGAACAGTTTGAAAATCCATCAGTGAGTGAAGCTGCAGACAAGAAACAATAATCAGAGTGTTTCCATGGAGATGATGATGTGAAGCAGCGGTGGAAGAAGCAAAAGCAGCAGCGGCACAGTGTAAAAGTACTGTGTTCGAGTCCCAGTAACAGTATAAAGCATCCTTTATATAGCGCTGGCTATCTGAAGCTAACATGATCCATCAACATGTGATAGTTACTGTGTGTTTGTGTTAATAATGTGCAGAGTGAGTAAAAAGTGCAGCATTTGGCCTGAAATGTAGTGGAGTCCAGGTCTAATGAGGTCCAGGTCAGATGTAATGTCAGTAATATCAGTGTGAGCAGTGGATCAGTAGAATCTGAAGCTGATACAGTAGCAAGTGTATTTAGTGTTAGTTCATTTAGTGTGAGCATGTGAAGAAGAAGAAGAAGAAGAAGAAGAAGAATGTGCTGACCTGGTCTGAGGGAAAGGCTGCTGCGGGACTGTAGAAGGAAATCTGTAGAGTGAGGACATGAAATATATTCAGATGGGACATGACGAGGTTTCAAAATATCTATAAATATATACGTGATGAAATCCATTCAGAGATATTTAATATTCACAATATTACTCCTCCTATCAAAGACTTGCATCGGCTTCACATCATGTTATATAATGACACATTATCCAGCGTTGAGAGGTTCCTTACTTGGACAGCAGGTTCCTGAGGAGCTCCAGAACTCGGGCCTCCAGGAAACCTTTCTTCTGTGTGACGGGGTCGTAGGTGAACTTCTGCTTCTTCAGGTGCTGACAAGGGGAGAGAGGAGGAGGATGAAGAGCCCCGGTGTTTACTTTTCTGTTGTTGTATTTGTTTGCTCACCTGCCGTTTGGCTTCTAGCTCAGCTGTGATTCTGGCTGAGCTGTGTGTCCCGGACGCTGCGTCTCAGGATGGCGGAGACGGCCGGTCAGACTGAGAGTCTCCGCACAGGAGGAGCAGGACAGATCCAGCCTGTGCTGCACAGTCCTGCTGCCCCCTGCTGGGCGTCAGAGGCAGCACAGCAGGTTCCACGCTGGAGGGAACATGGATTCAAAAATACATCAATATAAACATCTGAACAAACAATAATGATATTTATTTACAACTTCTTCTGATTATTAAAGTTGTTTCAGTAATACGGGTTCTGATTGGTCAAGGAAGCGTTAAGATAAACAGATTAGAAACAAACCTCCAAGTTAGGTTGTTAACGTGACCTTTACCCCCCAGCAGAACTGAAGGAACCAGGATGAAGCGTGATGTCTGCTGAGGAGTTGGGATTAAAAATAAAAACCCGACGCTTCAAAAGGTTCTTCTGTAAACCTGCAGTCCAACTCAGTCCATCGAGTTCTTTGAGCGGACGATGATTCTGCCGGGACGCCAACGTGTGGCGGTTCAGGTTCAGGCTGAAATGTTTTGTAAAACCTGCTGAGTCTCACTCTTCTTTCTTGCTTCCTGTAGATCATCGTAAAGCTCAGCTTGGGAACAACTGACCGTTTAACATTTACATAGATACAGATTCCCATCAGGGACAGAACACGTTCACTCCTGTGTGGAGAGAAAGAAGCAGCTCGTGCAAACACTGAAGAGACAGTTAAAAAACTACTACTATCTACTTCTACACTGTGGTGGTACTACTACTACTTCTACACTGTGGTGGTACTACTACTACTACTACACTGTGGTGGTACTTCTACTTCTACACTGTGGTGGTACTTCTACTACACTGTGGTGGTACTACTTCTTCTACACTGTGGTGGTACTACTACTACTTCTACTACACTGTGGTGGTACTACTTCTACTACACTGTGGTGGTACTACTACTACTACTACACTGTGGTGGTACTACTTCTACTTCTACACTGTGGTGGTACTACTTCTACTTCTACACTGTGGTGGTACTACTTCTACTTCTACACTGTGGTGGTACTACTACTTCTACACTGTGGTGGTACTTCTTCTACTACACTGTGGTGGTACTTCTTCTACTACACTGTGGTGGTACTTCTTCTACTACACTGTGGTGGTACTTCTTCTACTACACTGTGGTGGTACTTCTTCTACTACACTGTGGTGGTACTACTACTACTACACTGTGGTGGTACTACTACTACTACACTGTGCTGGTACTACTACTTCTACACTGTGGTGGTACTACTACTTCTACACTGTGGTGGTACTTCTACACTGTGGTAGTACTTCTACACTGTGGTGGTACTACTACTTCTACACTGTGGTGGTACTTCTACACTGTGGTAGTACTTCTACACTGTGGTGGTACTTCTACACCGTGCTGGTACTTCTTCTACTACACTGTGCTGGTACTACTACTACACTGTGCTGGTACTTCTACACTGTGGTAGTACTTCTACACTGTGCTGGTACTTCTACACTGTGCTGGTACTTCTACACTGTGGTATTGATACTGTTTCTACTCCTGACTCCTCTGAACACTTGACTCAAAATGTTCCAGGGTCTCAGACCAGATCTGGTCTCTGGTCTCTGGTCGTGGTGAATCAGGGACAAATGGGCCCAGAACTGCAGTCTGAGCACCTGTAAAATAAATAAGTAAATAAAATTCACACACAGTAAACAGAGTCACCGTGTTCGCTGCTTCACTAAACAAACCACGGGAACAACAACAAGTGTTTATTTAAAGCAGGACGAACGTAACTTCATAAATTAGACGACACATCGATAATTTGATGGAGCCGACAGAAGCAGCACACGAACTCTCTGGGTGAAGCTTCTGTCGGCTGCTGCTGAGTAACTGATCTAATAACAGAGCAGCGTCCCAGCCAGAAGCCAAGAGATTCCATTAACAGAAGATCAATGACGCACTCTTGTCATCCTGTGAAGACTAAAACCTGGTCTCAACCTGCCCCCTTTATACGTGGGGTCCAGCATTTTGGTACCCACAAATCCCAGTTTATGACCTCTCCGCAGGTCGGGCCACCAAACAGAAAACATTTGCATTGGTATGAAAAATACACATCTGAAGAACTTCTACACTTTTTTTCATGAGTTAAATTTAGATTATCCAGTTTTAAAAGTTCTGAAATACGCGCGCAGCAGCAAATTAACCCTTTCATGCAGTTATTTTAACTCCGCTTCAGGACAAGGTCACGTTTCTGTTTTATAAAGTAGCTCGTACTCATCATGCAACAGTAACGTCTGAATCTGTTCTACTTTTCCAAAGGTGTTATAATAAAACAGACATTTAAACAAACACATGATGCAGAAGAATAAGTATTATACTCCGTACTGTACAGATAATGTCATACTGGGGTGTTGATGCGGTTGTGATTGCGTTTCCACATACATGTACTACAGTTATAAATACCACAGTCTCTCCTCTTAAATGTGTGTTTTATTGTTAGTTTTCAACAATTGAGCTTAAATACATGCAGAATTTTGTGAAAAGTGTAAATGGATTTCAGTAATAAAACGGACGCCTGCACTCTGAGAAAGAACCAAAACACCAGAATACTCATCAAAAACCTTTAATTGCCAAGCTGGACATGAAATAGAAAAATGTGTAGCTCTGTAACGTTACATTATTATTTTCACAGAAATGTCTTCGACCATGAAGCTGCTGTTCTCTGCTGCTCCAGCCTCAGGTGACCTTCAATTAAAGACAGTTTGATATGTTCTCCGGTGTTTGTTTGTGGGACAAAATGAGAAAGTGTATCTTTAATTATTTTTACATCAAGGTAACCGGAGGCCCGCAGCTCGTCACGGTGGATTCACCGATCGCGTCTGACCCATTTTAACGTCTTCATCAGATCATCCCGTCCCCGCTGGGCAACGTTTTCAACACATCAATTATTTTCCACTAGGATCAGATTGTCCAGAAACTGTTAAAGTGCTTCATGTGTCTGTTTTCAGTAGTTTAGCACCAGATTAAACTAAAACCCAAAAATATTCAGTAACATCAGTCTGCCGAAAATTAACTCGCTGGCCAAAATGAAGCTGTGAACATGTGAGGCAGGATTACCAGATATTAAACATTCCTGAATGTACAGCATGAAGCGGGGGGACGAGGACGGACAAAAAGACAACAGGCGGACGAACCCTGAAAACAAAGTGCAGACAGTCCCAAGAAAAACAGACACCCACAGTGAACCTGCTGAGTCGGACAGACGCCTGCAGACAACAGCAGCTTTCCGGTGTCCAACCCCGACGTCCCGCAGTCCCTTTGTGATGGACATAAATGCTCTTTAATGAACCGCGCCGGTGTTTCTGCGCGTTTTGAGCTCATTAACTTTACAAATCATCAGCGTTTCCTTCCATGAAAACCAACCCGGGAGTCCTGAAATCTGCTGCCCATTAAAGTTTAATGGACTTCGGGTTAAAGTTGTTAATGTGTGGCGGTGCAGTTGGCTCGTTCGAGGACGGAGGTCAGAAAGCCAAACAAAAAGGAGGACAAAGTGACTTTTATCTTTTCTAGCATTTAAAAAGTTGGGGGACCCAAAAGAGACGTGTTGAAACGGTCAGGATCGAGATAGTCGGAGTTTTAGTCCCTCAGGGATCTCACTCGGGTCCCCTTTTGTTTCAGTAGTTTTCACAATTTCAAGACCAGGTCCTCCCCGAACACAGAGTAAGACCAACCATGAGTTTTAAAAAGGTCTCTGTTGGGCAGCAGTTTCAAGTCTCTCAGATTTGCTTCAAACTGAAACGTGTCTCCGAATTCTCGAAAGCTGCGGGCATCAAACGTCCGGTCAGATTCACCGTGTTGAAAACATATTTATGCCCGATGCTCGTTTATATTTCGACAGTTCCTCACAGTAAGTAAACAGACTTGTAGTTAATGAGCTAAAACGCGTTTAAACCGCCTGCACAGACGTTTACAATAGTGTCTATAAGTTAGTTCCCGCAGCCGATCTCCTCCTTGTAGCGGGTCGTGAGCGTGTTGGCCTTGCAGGTCAGTTTGGACAGGACGGCGTGGAGTCCTTTCAGGTGGAAATGAAACTGTTTCTCCAGGTCGTCCTCCTCTGCCGCCGCCGCCTCGACCACGACCGCCTTCTCCTTCCGCCGCTCCTCGCCCTGCAGGACGCCCCACTCGATGTCGTTGCGGATGGACTTGAGGAGCACGTACGAGCTGTACATGTCGCCGACCTGCTGGAAGTAGGCGCCGCCGTTGGTGCCGTTAGCGCCGCTCACCGCCTTCAAGTCCTCTGCGTCGTCCAGCGGGACGTCCCGCAGCAGGCTGGGCACCATCACCGTCTGGTCCATGTTGTTGACGGCGCCGATGAAGCGGTTCATGGCGTTGAAGAGCGAGTTCTTCTGCTTGTAGGATTCAGAAATCTGCATCATGCTGACAAACCTGAAGTGAAGCCCCTTTTCTCCGCCTGCCACAGTCCAGGGCCAAACTTAGCCCGCTAATGCTCTTTAGAGGATTACTATGAGGCTACAGCCAGATCCAGGTCTTAACCAGCTCCCAAAGCTGGACCAGGTTACGCAGGTACACTCACCACGTCTGCCAGTGTTAAAGAGACCGCAGGTTTACCCCGAGTGTCCCCGCTGAGGATGGAGGGCGTCTCCCGCTGCAGGACGCCGGCCGACTGTTTCACCCCTGAGGTCAGATAACGGGCGAGAACCTGAAACACAACCACAGAAGAAGACAGAGAGGGTGCTGGGTGATTTTAAATACAGAGCAGAAGACAGTGAAGCAAACAGGAAGTGCAGCTTTCTATCCGCCAACACAGAGTCCAGATCCCCCATCAGAGTCCTGACGTATCAACGACCCATTAAAAAAAACAAAAATCAGGAAGTCCCTTTCTGCTAGCATCAGCTGGCTAAATGCAGCTAACGCCACGAGCTAACGCTGCGTCACCGGGACAGAAACATTTAGTTAAGTGTTAAAAAGAGGCGACAGTGATTCATTCTTCCATAGGAATGAACGACATCTGCCGCGACATCCATTATCGGACACGTGCACGTCTCCTTCCACCTGCGTGCAGCCTGAAAACCGGAGACGTGTTCAGCGTTTTCTGCGGAAGTAATGTTGGCTAAATGTAAACGTGCCGGTTTATAAGCTTGGCACACGTGTTCACACTCTCGGTGACTCCTGTCCGGTCTGTGCGCGGACAGGTAGGTTAAAAAAAACAAACGGAGAAGTTTGTCGAGGAAAAAAAAAAACCTAAACTAGAAAACAAAGAATCCAGACCGCGTCCGATAATGGAACTCGTCTTGTATCAACGCACTTACAATTTAACGGGATCAGAAAACGGGAGGCCGCCGGTAGCTGCGAGCCTCCGCATCTGTTCAGACGTTACCGACGAGGGTCAGCTTGTCAAACTCTCCCGGTTTACCGGGAATTAAACGACAGAACAGCTAAGTTACCGGACAGCCCCCTGCCCTCGTAGACGGCTTTTCCGGGTACCGTTACCTCCCCTGGGGCATCAGATTAACCGGAAATACCTCCGCGGTGCAGCCGCCCGGTGATCTTACCGTGTGGCGGCTCGTTCCTCGGCGGTGTCGGCGTGAGTCGCTGCTTTCGGCCCGGTAATCTGTCCGGGATGGAGCTCCGGACGGTCAGCGGCGCTCGCTTCGTAGCATCAGCGGAGGAGGAGCAGCAGGGCGGGAGGGGCGGAGATTATCAGGAAGGGCCGCACACAGCCAATCACAGGCGGGCAAGGCCGGGTGACGTCAGGGTGGAACGTTGGAAAAATGTAAACACAAGAGTCTGACGTAAATATTAATTAGCATATTTATTAAAACGTTATTTTCATATCAACAGTAGATTAATAATTTAGTACTTATTTATGGATACTTTATTTTCATAACTTTTATTTTCTTTTATATTTTAATTCATACATTTGTTTTCATATCAACAACAAATTAACTTTGTATTTATTTATTTATACGCTGTTATTTTCTTTTTCTGAAACGCCATCTCCTGTTATTGTTTGTATTTTGTGTCAAGTGAAATTAATGGTCGTATTTTATACAATCTTTAGTTATTATTCAGTTTCTGTGTATTTCTGGCTGTCATTAGTTTTGTAAAGTAATTTCATCTTCTAAGATTCAATAAATAAAGGTCACATTTGCTGAGGATAATAAAACAGATGTTTTACTATAAAGTTTAACTAAAGATAGTCTGCGGGGAAATACGTTTTATTAATAGTAGTTGTAGCATTTAATTATTAGATTTCAATGACCCTCTGTCCTCAACAAGTCAACAAATCTAAGTGACTTTTGTAAACAAGACAGAATAAAACATTTTTTTATTTTACAATTGTTTATACATGATACTTACAGACATAAAATATCATGTTAACACGTGTTTTTTATTGTTTCAAGTGTTTTTATACTCAAAATTAGAATCAGAAGTTCCAACTTGTCATAATAACCCCTAAGAAAATAAATAGACAGTTGAACGCTGCATGTTCTTTGAGATGTTTCTGTC